CATTCATCCTCGAACTGAACATTAGTGATCACGGGGAATGTCCCATGTTTAGTACATTTATTTAATATAATTAAGGTACCCAATATTTTATTCAATACTAATTATTATGATCTTAACATAGTTTGATGCTTATAAGAGGTATTAGAGTTTACTTACAAATTAATATTTTGAGGCAGTTTGAGACATTCACATTGAATCATATGAAACGAACCATTGCTGAAAAATTGGATTGTGTATTGTAGGAGAAAGGTTATAAGATCTGTAGGGTTGTTTTAAGAAATGAATAAAACATTTCATTTATTTCGGAAACTAATAAATCTACTCTATCTTGAAATGAAAATAGTCTGTGAGCAAACAGTATTTGGATATTATTATCATGATGACATTATTCTTAATTAATTAGGTCATTCTCTTCATATTGATATAAGTAGATTTAAGAGCTGGAGTTGAAGAAGATGAAAGGGAGAGTGTGTATGTTTGTAGAAAAATTGCTAAAGTAAGTCTTTCTGTTTGTTTATTTATCAATATATAAAGTCCTAAAATCTAGGCTACGTTTTTTTTTCTGTTATCAAAGTTTTGTGCTTCTCCATTCTTTTTGCATTATTTTCCCACCTCTCTTTCTTTTCCTTTCGCAGTAGAACGTTATCATTTTTCTGAATGTTTGTTTCTTAACCCGCGTAAAACTTTCCTATTATTTTAGACATAGTTTTGCATCAACACGAATTGATTATTAGCTAATAATTGTTTACTAAACATTTTATTTCTCTTTTAACTAGGTTATGTGTGTGTATGATGTAAAGGAGATTTAATGTGTTTAAGGAAAAAAAGTATTTCTTAAATCAGTTTCTTTTTTGTCTTAAAAGTAAATCCAAATGCTTCTTGACTTCCTCATTCTCATCTAATACATCGATTCAACATAAGAATGATGATAATGAAGAGGTGATCCATGGACAATAGCCATGATGCTGGTGATTTTTACGATTTCTTTGTTTTCTGTAAATACTTTCTTTCCGCCTCATAAAAATCAATTTAGCTATTTTTAATTTAATGTTATTGATGACCGGTGAGATTTTTGTTAATGTTGACGGAATAGTTAAATACTTACAACGAATTTTAATGGCATTAGTTGTATGTATGTTAGCGAATACATATACATATGTACTTGTTTGTGTATTAATAAATGATGAATAAACAATTGAGTAAAACTGATTCTATTGGGATTGATTTATTACACAGTTATCATTGAATAAGCTTTTTATTATTAAAAAAATTATTGTTTCACTTGTATGGGAAATGTTTCATCACAGAATGATGACAATGATTCATTGTTCATAAAGAGACTATATCTTTACTTTGATATTTTCCATATTTGATTTATTTAAGCAGTAAAAAAGTTACTTGAATCATTTTTCTTGCTCTAAGTCGTTGTTATGATCAATAACTAAAAGTTTGTAAAAGCGTCATCCAATAAATATGTATGATAGATGAATGTTTGTTACTTTTTCTGAAAATAATTAAATTGGGTTAATTAAATTAGGTTTACTTATCCTTTACGAGGAAGTTAGATAAACTTGTTTTTGTACATCTGTATTCATTTCGAAGGTTTTGCGTTATCAGAAGGTGTACAGTTCAGCCAGTTTTTATCATCCTCCATGTGTGTGTATTTGATTAGTTATCGATTTTAATTAAAACTTTTCGTGTAAATTCTGGCTTTAGAAGTCGACTTACAGTAACAGAATTCCATCATAAGGATTTATTAAATCTGATTTAGTTCTTTTTAACATAATAAAATATGTTTAAGAGGATTATAAATTGAAATTTAAATGAATCAACTCACTCGTCTATCGGATCATTTCTCTTCATCATAGCAAGTGTCTTCAATTCAGTTTAAATACACAAACAAAATTGATCACTGCTTCAAAGTTGTTTTGATAGCTTACCATTTCATCCTTACGATATTAATCACTGTTCTGTTTTGTTTGACCTAATGATTTTTACTTTTTTTTGCTGAATGTTCCACTCATAATTTTATTGCCCATATATCGATTTCCAATGAACATATTCATAACCAGCTCAAATAGTTGTTTGTTAGACTTAATTAATCAAACTAAATCTACAAAATTTTTTCCCTTTACATTACAAGTTCATTTTACATTAAATTTATCATTATTACTTTTAATAATATCATATACAGTTTCTATAGCATTTTGTCCAAACGTTGTTTTAAAAAAAACTACCTTTTTCAGGTATCAATTGTAATTTAAGATAATTTTATCGTGAATTTTATTTCCGTTTATTACAACATAGACATATTTCTTTATCCTGGTTAGAAGCAAATCTACATTAAAATTTTAGACAGGTATTTTTATTCAAAAAAGTATTCTTTCTTCCTTATTTATAACTCGCCCACCAATTTATGCGACTCAGTCAAGTTGATGAGAACAAGAATGATCTAGACATAGAATAATAATAATAATAATAATAATAATAATAATAATAATAATAATAATAATAATAATAATAATTATTATTATTATTATTATTATTATTATTATTATTATTCAGGGTGAATCCTACAACAAAATACTACAGAAGCACAAAACACACATAAGTGTTTATACAAAAGTCAAGTGAAACTTTTCCGGAACTGTCCACTCTTCGCTAATAATTTAGTTAAAAATAGTTCAATTAGCATGTTTTTTGTAAAGCTTGTTCATAAAGAGTTACCTACACTCATTTTATTCAAGTGTGTTCAATAAAATCCGTTTTTTATTCTGTGCTTTCCAGTTTGGTAATTTTTACTATTTTTGGCTGTGACCATTGTTGTAGTAATCCTTTTAACTCATTCCATTCATTTGAATGTTTTTTATAAAATCGATATTATTATTATTTATTATAAAACTTTATTCTCCTAAAATAACTACTTATCGATTGATTGAATTAAATGGATATTTTAACCATATGAATTGTGTTCAAATCAATTTATTACTGTTTTATGCTTCCCAACAAAATATCAATGAAACAATGAAGTCAATTAATGTAGATAATTTCCTTCGACTTCAGAACAAACTTAATTATAACATCTTAAATAATAATAATAATAATAATAATAATAATAATTCAAATTAAAGAGTTCATAGTTTCTTGAGATTGATTGATTGATCACTTATCGTGGTATATTTGTTGTTTTTGACCTATTCTAAGCATATTTTCCTGTTAATCTTCCATTTTCCTCCCTCTGTTCACTAACTAAATAATCCATTAGTATGTTGTAAGAAACAGTGATGGTAGGGAGAATTCAGGAAATAACATGATTAATAGAACACAAAATATTATGTATAAAATAGATAAGAAGAATGTAATACACCTTGTGGAAATGATATACTTAGTTAGACGTTTATTAACAACTCCGCCTGTAGCTCTCCTAGAGTTACTGCTGGTCCAAAGCCCGGATAAAGGAGGAGAATTGGGCATGGGGTTAGCGTCCCCATCCCGTAGAAAACTAACTCGCTAAAAGAACGCTAACCAGAAAAAAATAATTCAAACCATTTAAACTCTGCCCTCGGAGTTAGAAGGTCTTCATTTAGAAGAAATATGACGCCTAGGGGTGAAAGCCGAGTTCCTTCGGAAGCCGCGAGGCCGATGCCCCTTCTAACAACCAAAGCAACAATTTTTATAGGTACATGGAACGTCCGGACAATGTGGGAGACTGGGAAGACCAGTCAAATAGCAACGGAAATGAGGAGATACAACTTGGCAGTACTGGGAATCAGCGAAACCCATTGGACACAAGCTGGACAACAAAGGCCAAATACGGGAGAGATGCTGTTATACTCCGGTCACGAAGAGGAAAATGCTCCACACATTCAGGGAGTGGCTCTAATGCTGTCCAAAGTAGCACGAAATGCACTTGTAGGATGGAAATCTCACGGGTCCAGAATCATCAAAGCATCATTCAAAACAAAGCAGGAGGGGATCACAATGAACATTATCCAATGTTATGCACCCACCAATGATAGCAACGACGAAGTTAAAGATCAATTCTATGAGAGGCTGCAATCAATCTTAGAGAAGTGCCCAAGAAAGGACCTCACCATTCTGATGGGAGATCTAAACGCCAAAGTAGGAATAGACAACACCGGATATGAAGATATCATGGGACTACATGGACTGGGAGAGAGAAACGAAAACGGGGAAAGATTTGTAAATCTATGTGCATTCAACAAATTGGTCATAGGTGGCACAATATTTCCACACAAACGTATACACAAAGCTACATGGATCTCACCGGACCAAACCACAGAGAACCAGATAGATCATATTTGCATCAATAAAAATTTCCGAAGGATAATGGAAGATGTGAGAACCAGGAGAGGAGCGGATATAGCTTCAGATCACCACCTGGTTGTGGCCAATTTAAAACTGAAGCTAAAGAAGAACTGGACAACTGGACAAACAGCTCTGCAAAGGTTCAATACAACCTTCCTTCGAGATACCGACAAACTCAATGGATTCAAGATAGCTCTCAACAACAGGTTCCAATCCCTACAGGATCTACTGAAGGAAGAAGAAACTACTATGGAGGACAACTGGAAAGGTATCAAAGGAGCATTAACTTCAACGTGTCAAGAGATTCTGGGCCCCAAGAAGCATCATCACAAGGAATGGATCTCTATAGAAACACTGGACAGGATCAAAGAAAGGAAGACCAAGAAGACAGCAATTAACAAGAGTCGAACACGAGCAGAGAAAGTCCAAGCACAAGCCCAGTACATAGAAACAAACAAGCAATCGAAGAAAAGCATTAGAGCCGACAAGCAGAAATACGTGGAAGAACTAGCAACGACGGCGGAGAAAGCTGCAAGAGAAGGAAATATGAAACAGCTTTATGATACAACGAAGAAACTAGCAGGGAAACATAGTAAACCAGAGAGACCGGTCAAAGACAAAGAAGACAGGCCAATCACTGAAATTCAGCAACAGCGCAACAGATGGGCAGAGTAATTCGAGGAACTCCTGAATAGGCCGGCACCAATGAATCCACCGGACATCGAAGCAGCATACACAGATTTCCCTATAGATGTCAATCCACCAACGACCGAAGAAATCGGAATGGCCATCAGACAAATCAAGAGCGGGAAAGCAGCAGGACCCGACAATATACCAGCTGAAGCACTGAAGTCAGATATCGAAGTAACGACAAACATGTTTCATTTTTTATTCAGGAAGATTTGGGAGGAGGAACAAGTGCCGATGGACTGGAAAACAAGACACCTCATCAAGATTCCAAAGAAAGGAGATCTGAGCAAATGTGTAAAATACAGAGGCATCACACTACTGTCAGTACCAGGAAAAGTTCTCAACAGTGTTGCTGAACCGGATGAAAGACACAGTAGACGCTCAACTTCGAGATCAACAAGCTGGATTCCGTAAGGACCGGTCGTGCACAGACCAGATGGCGACACTACGGATCATCGTCGAACAATCAATTGAGTGGAACTCGCCACTGTACATCAACTTCATTGATTATGAGAAGGCATTTGACAGTGTAGATAGAAGAACGTTATGGAAACTTCTTCGACACTACGGAGTACCTGAGAAGGTTTTCAACATTATCCGGAACTCATACGACGGACTACAGTGCAAAGTAGTGCATGGAGGACAGCTGACAGATGCATTCCAAGTGAGGACCGGAGTAAGACAAGGCTGTCTACTCTCTCCTTTCCTGTTTCTTCTGGTGGTCGACTGGATTATGAAGACCTCGACATCTGAGGGAAAACACGTAATACAATGGACAGCTCAGAACCAATTAGACGATTTAGACTTCGCAGATGACCTAGCCCTCCTATCGCGTACACACGAACAAATACGGACTGAGACATCCAGCGTAGCAGCAGTCTCTGCATCAGTAGGCCTCAATATACATAAAGGGAAAACCAAGGTCCTCAAACACAACACGGAGAACAGCAGTCCAATCACTCTTGATGGCGAAACTCTGGAAGATGTAGAATCCTTCACATACCTGGGAAGCATCGTCGATAAACAAGGAGGTTCAGATGCAGACGTCAAGGCGAGGATTGTCAAAGCTAGAGCGGCATTCCTTCAACTGAAGAACATATGGAACTCAAAACAACTTTCAACCAACATCAAAGTCAGAATCTTCAATACGAACATTAAGGCAGTCAGTTCTACTGTACGGAGCTGAAACTTGGAGAACTACAACAACCACCATCCTGAAGGTACAGGTATTTATCAATAGCTGTCTACGCATGATACTCAACATCCATTGGCCGGATACCATCAGCAACAGCCTTTTGTGGGAGAGAACCAACCAGCTTCCAGTTGAAGAGGAAATTAGGAAAAGACGATGGAAATGGATAGAACATACATTGAGGAAATCATCAAACTGCATTACGAGACAAGCGCTAACTTGGAATCCTGAAGGGAAGAGGAAAAGAGGAAGGCCAAAGAACACATTACGTCGGGAAATAAAAGCGGATATGAAATGGATGAATAAGAACTGGAAAGGATCGATCAGGACAGGGTTGGATGGAGAATGCTGGTGAGCGGCCTATGCTCCTTCACGAGGAGTAACAGGCGAAAGTAAGTAAGTACGTTCATTAACATTCAGCTTTCTTTATGCACATTAGAAACTCATGTCATTTATTTGTGAGTACTTTGACGGTAAACATTTTGAGACAAAGTGAATTCATTTTATATACCCCATGTAATTAAACTAACTGACTTTATTATCATTCATTGTATATATTCTTAAAAGGAATTTCGATTTGCTATGTAAAAAAATTAAAGAGTACTTAACATGGCCAGTAGTAGTCACATTATAATTTTGAACGTTAGATGTAATAATTATAATTACCAGCAATTAAGATTATCCTAATGCAAACGGGATCTATTGCATAACAACTAATCAGGAAACATCAGAAATTGTGGTCGGGTTCGGCGTTGCAAGTAAGAAATTAACGTTTATCAACAAAATTAGGTAACCTGATGTCGTTATAGCGTCGATATCACTGGATTAATAATAAAAAGCTGAGTTTGCTAGCCAGTTTGATTTTTAATAGTTCTACATGGTTTGATAAAAATCTCAGTACATTTTAACTAACGTTTTGGTTGGATTTTTTTGTCCTTTGAACTAGCTCCAATTGCTTAGATCCCTATTCTAAATCAAAGCATATAAGGTGCTCACTTTTACCTGTGAAGTTGTGCTACTGTCATTAAACGACATCTTTAAATGCCATATTTTTTCGGAATATTTTCATAATCTTTCGTTCAACACTGTCATACTTTTGCTAAAATTTTAACTGGAATTATTTTCAAATATTTAAACAACTTAATTTTGTCCCAAAGTTAGGTTTTCAGCAAAAATATCTCTTAAACTCTATCTATTTAATGATGCATACCTATGTAGGTTTTCTCTCGTAACCGTGTATATATCTGTCTGTATAACTAGCCTATATATATATATATATATATATATATATATATATATATATATATATATATATATATATATATATGTCTGATTTCTCATGTTTGTGTGTGCTTAACATTTAGGCATCGTTGGTTCAAAATACCAAATATTACTCATAAAATAGTTCTGTTTTATCAACTTTCTTTTACGGAAACATTCAGTTAATTTTTATGATTTATCAGTTTACTGGTGGTTTCTTAGAAATTTTCGAGGTATTCACTAGTTCTATTATACCAGCAATTATCTAGACTATCTATTGATAAGTAAATATACGTACTTCTGGGTGGAGGTAGAGAAAAACGAATTCTTCAAAAATGCCGCTTTTCCGTACCCACTTATTCAAACTTAAAGTGCTCACCTATTTATTATGTATGTATTTGTTGATTATACATAATTTGATGGCAGTCTCGCTGAAATGTTGCACTCAGCACTCACTAAAGTAGAGTGATAATCATTTGATCAGCCCCGGTAATGTTGGTTAAATTCCTAAAAATTTCACTAAGCAGCCATGCCTTTGAAATCAATGAAAATAGCAGTGACGTAGTACTCATTTTCTAATGATATTGTATAACAATTATCGTACCTTAAATCAATAAAAAATGAAGATTCGAATTACTCGATTTATAACTATTGTATTCTGAAATGAAAATAAGAGTAAACTGTCCATCAGTGCCTTTTTGATTATCATCGGTTCATCAAACATTTTTAGTTGATGATGCAAAATTTTCCATTTATTTATATGTTTATGAATGTATTCAAAAATATGTGTACGTGTGTATGTATATTATAAATTGTATCACTGCTGCCTAAACGTTTATTCCTAAATACAATTTTCGACAAGAAACGTTCTATAAATTATGTTTTTTTCAAAAATCATCTCATTAACCATAATATTTAAATCACCTATTTATGTACAAAATAGATAGGATTAATCTTTTTTTTAATTTGAAAAACTTATTGTTCATTAACTTATCTAAGATTTGATTTCTTTTAATTACTATAAATACTGAAATTAAAAAATTAAACTCGTTTATCCATTTTAATCTGTACCAGCTGATTAACTACTTTCTCCTTTTTTCGTCTCTTTTTCTTTGTCTGAATCATTGACACGCAAAGTTATCGGGAAACACTTTGTCGTAGCCATGACTTAATCAGGATCCCACAGAACGTCTTCTTCCACAAAATTCAAAAGTTAATATAGACTAGATATCACTTTTTCTTTATGAAGAGCTTTGTACAGAAGGTGCTTAGATTTGGTGCTTATATCATTGAAAAACGATGCGAATACTAACCCTATCTTACAGATTCTACTGAGAGCATAATTCAATAAACATTTGTTTTTTTTGTTCATGGCGGACTTTTATTGTGTTATACAAGATGCCTGAAATTTTTGAAAATTTCCCTAATTCTGTTCTTCCGATCATATGAGTTTATAACTGCTACCCACAGATACTTGCCAACATTTCGATTAATATCATTCACTTAAAATCAAATTGTTAATGGATACGAATTATATTGACTTGAGGAATTTACAATTGACGAGTGACTAAGTAGTGATAACTATCATGTTTATCTTATCTTTTATTATTGAGTACGTTTTATCGATTTAGTTGCAATATGATCACTGGTTTAGGTGACTTGAGATCACACGTACTAAATGGAGGACCAGGTAAACATGTCATAGCTCATTTTTAAATGATCAACCAATTGTATGTATCTCAGTCCTGTAGTAAGAGGCCAGCCTTGTGCTAAATGGCTTGATGATAATATGCCAGACTATGAAGCTAGGTAGTTGATGCTGTTTAGAACACTACAGATTTCCTCACGATGTATTTTTGGAAAGTTTAACTATTATCTTCTGCAAAGCTTTTATCTAGGTTCTCATCCTTGCTTTAAAGAACGAACCTGTTATTTTTAATATATCTTTGCATCGCATGTTTTATTATATTTTATTTGATTGTTTCTTCTCATTACTTGGATATAATTATGGAAAAACAGCGTCTGTTTTGAAAAACCTAGCACTCTCCTCCACTCTGTCTATTATGTGGATTATGTAGCTAAATTTGTGCCTTATATTAATTATCTTCAAAATTTACTTTGAGTATTTCAGAGAATTAAATAATTAGCACTATAAGACACTAACTATTTTTGCCGTATGTATGTTAGACGATATCCTGTTAAAATCTTTCCCAAGCGCTTATTTGTAAGATATGTTTTACACACAAAATTTCAGGTTAAGTAGATCTCTCACTCACTCCCGTCTTCGATTAGAAGTGCATTTCTCATTCATTAATAAACAAAAATTAAAATCTTGAGAATAAAATATAGTTAATCACTTTTCCTTAAGATTTTTTCCTAGAATTATATATATATATATATATATATATATATATATATATATATAACAGTTCCAGTATATGAGATGGTGTCGTGGTATGAAAGAAAGCTGCAAAGGGCTGGTTTGTGTTGGTCCTTCACGAATTCCTGGCTGGGGTCTGAGAGATTGTGTAACACAGTGGCTAGAAACGTTATCAAGTATGACTCGGAATAGAAGCTAATGGCGATCCTGCTGTAACCTTCTTTTACTTTCTTCATAAAAAGTGGTTGCCTCTTCCTTAACTGAAAGATTTCTTCTGATTGTACCTTTCCGTTTCCCCCACCATTGTTCTCTCTCTCTCCCTTTTTTTTATAATTCCCCACGTTCATTACTTTTTTTTATATACATTTTTTTTCTCCTCTTCAAATTATCATTGTTTTGTGTGGCGCATATATATTTGGTGCCCCCCTGTACCAATATTTATGTGTTCAAATAAATAAATAATAAATATAACAGTTCATTAATTTCCTTAGATATTTTTTGTTTTCTTTTGAAGTATTAAGACCAGAGTTAGAGGTGAATTTGATGTCGTTAAGATTGTGGGAAGCTAAAACACTACAATCACAAACTTTATTACTAGAGTATTTCAACCGGTAAAAACGCCTTTGTTTTAAAGGCTGATTTTCCAGCAATT